AGCGGTTCGGGTCGCTGCGGCGCACGGGGCCCGGGGCCTTGGTGAGCAGCAGCCGCCGTGAGGGGCGACCCCGGGAGCCAGGAGGGGTTTCCTGGCAGCCTCGCGTGGGTCTCCCCGACCGTCCGGGCCTGCCGCAATCTTTTGAGTGCGCCGTAAGTGCAGACGGTGCCCCGCGGCAGAGCCGTGCGGCTTCAGCTCCTCTTGAAGGCAAAACTGTGTTGGTGGCTCCTTGCTTTGCCTCCTGCTCCCGTTTTGAGGCAGCAGTCTTCAAGGCAAGAGCAGTGATAGCGCTTCAAGGGTTTGGAGCTCCCTAGGAGGTGGTTCAAAAGTACCTCTGAGAGAGGAAATAGAGGGTATTGAGAAAAGCACCACTGAGTCAGGAAAAGAGAAGGGTAATGAAGTGGATGAGTGCACGGGAGCTATGAAATCCGCAGTTCCAAAGGAGAAGTTTGTATAGGATATCCCACAGAGTAGTGCAAAGAGTAACAAAACACAATTCAGGTAGTTAAAACAAGATTGATGTGAAAGAAGCATTTCATAAATACTGCCTTCTAAGCCATGAGTTAGCCTGGAAGGATGTGTCTATCCATGTAACAAAATTTATTTTATTACAGTGCTACGGTTCTCTCATGTTACAGAGAACTCAGATGCTCAGATAAACAGGGTTTTGCAGATTTCTTTTGTTTGCTTAGAGAGATGGTTACATCAGTAGAACTACAGAAGTGCAATGCAAAGTGTGGAACGTGAAGTGAGGATTTCAGTATTTGAAGTGAAAAAACGGAGGAATAATTTGTAAGCTGTGAGAAAAGTAATATGCCTGTGTATTTTAAATGAGACAGTGAAAGTGGGGGGAGGTGGAAGCTGGGACAGTTACTAAATATTTCAACTTTCACAGTATTAAAAAATGCCTGTCTTGAAACATAATATTTGAGCATCTTGTCTTTATTGGTAATAGCACAGAAAACAGCATCTTTCAGATTTGAGGCTGTATTTCAACATGTCCTTTTTGTTTTCAGTGAAGAAATGAATTGGAGTTTGAGACTGAAATTTGAAAATCTGGTCCAGCTGCGCTGTGCTTGCAGACAGCTGCATGCTCTGTCCTACAGAAGAGTTTGCAGAGCACAATGGAAGCCTGTGCAGTTGTCTGCGCGTCCTGTGCGGTCCGTTCGTCTGTACCCACAGCTCTGGCAATGGGACAAGTTAATCAGTGCTGCCTTTCCACACTACAGGCATCTAGCTACAAAGGAGGTAATTAATGGAATCCAGTAATCTCTGTTTCTGTGTGAAATTTCAAAGCACAAGAAATCATTTTGAACACTTCCATTACAAAAATGGGAGCTTTATATGTAGTAAGCTTTTCATGAGCAGGATTCCTTTATTAGTGAATATAGAGAAGTAGTCCTAACTGTTGTAAGACAAAATGTTGTGTGAATTGTGACTCCCTCTCAGTTGTTCATGTGAAGTATCTATACCTTTAACATCCTGAATCTTTCAGAGGAGGAAGAAAAGATTGTAATCAAAGATGAATTTTTAATGGATTTTCTTTGCTGTGAAAAGAAGTGAAAAATACATGACGCTTTAAACACTCAGTGTGATTTTTAAGTCATTCATTTATTGTAATTCATTTGTGTCATAGATTTAAAAAATATGTAGCATAGCATTTCAGGTCATTGTCTTTTTAATGTTGTTTTTATTATTTCTTCATTTATGCCAGCTATGTGTTCCTATATACATGTCTAATTCCATGTAGGAGAAGAAAAAGACCCGAAAGAAATTGCCAGTGACAAAAGGTGAAGTGGAGATAAAGCAGAAAATGACTGTAGAGGAACTTGCAAGAGCTATGAGTAAAGACGTAGGTGAGAGCCTGCTCTGTTGTATGAGATACTCTGTAACTGTTTCCATTCCGTCAATCATGATGTTTTCATGAGTGGTAAAGGCAAAGATGTTTTAAAACAGTATTAGTAAGTGATGACTAGTCCCTTTCTTAGCAAGGTAGGTTGTACCTATACTGAAAAGGCTGTCGTTTCTTGCCATGTATTTCTGAGATAGACCTGTAATGGTGCTCAAGTCAGTCTCTGGTTTAGATGAGTTGCAGTTTTTTCCTTTTGGAGATTAATGGAAAATAAGCTGTGAAAATCTGTGTGAAAAACAATATCATAGCATTTCATGAGGTTGAACCTTTCTGAATCATATTGTTGTGAGTACGTAGTATAACAGGAACCATTAGGTAAATCTAGCTCAAGCAAAAATGCTTTGTGAAATAAATGTATTCAGAAGGTGTTAATTACACTTTACTATTACTCAGATTTTCTTCATTAATATTTCTGTTGCATTTTTTTTTGGATAGGTGAATAATTGTTAATTGTATTCATCTTTTCTTTAGATCATATTTTTGAAGCTCTGCTATACACAGATGTTGACTTTGATTCACTAGAACCAAATTCCATCTTATACGAAGACCACA